ACTAAATATAGGGATGTTGATTTTGATTGGCTGAGGCGAACGTGGGAATGTTATATATGGAAAGTCTTTCATGGAGTTAAGTTTTTCTTCAAGGACACAGGGGCCAGTGGGTAAAAGCGTTGGCTGAATCCAGTGACTTGACCCAAAGAATCGTGAGTTTAATACCTGGCTACTGCAGTGGTGAACAAAAATTTCGGAAGTTGAGGCATGGCACGTTGAACTAGAATAATCTACCCCGGTGGAAGAAATAAAAGGGTTCAGTTCGAAATTCCAGTCACCGGAAGAAGGCTGGAGCGTACAATGGCCGAAACGTCGAGAATATGGCATTAAAGATGAGGACAACACTACGAACAAATGTAAATAATGTAAATAGTTACTTTGATTATTATGCATAAAATGTAAAATATTTATTTTTTTTTTTGTAGATTTACTACGTAAAGATCACAAGCTTCTAACCCTAAGTAATTATTGACGGCACGTGACTAGTGTTTACGTATCTAATAAACAAGAGCTACATAAGTTGAAAATATGTCCTCGTCCATAAAAAAAAAAATATTACGTTGCTACAATCAATAATTAAGAAAATGATAACAATAATAATAAAATTAATAAAAAAAATGATAGGTAAAGAAATCGACGATAAAATAAAATAAAAAATGATAGGAAAAGAAATCGACTATACTGAACCAATACTCGATGATAAACAAAACAATTACGACTTAAATGCATTTCCTACAATTTTGTGAATAACGTACTCTTTCCTTAAAAAGAAATGTTACGCTTTAATATAAATATAGAATTATTCATGCCAATGTATAAGTAATTTAATAAATACTATGCCTTAAATGTTTCTAATATAACAATTCCTAGTGGTAATAGACATTCTTAATAAAGTAAGTAAACTTACTAAAACATTTAAAAAAAATAAAACAAAAAATTATAAAAAAATAAAAACAATCGATGCATACATTTAAAAATTTAATAATTTTAACAATTAATAATAATTTTATTAATTAAATATTGTAAACTTAGATATCCCGAAAATGTGGAACTAGATATGGCATGTGGAACTAGAATAATCTACTCCCGTGGAAGAAATAAAGGTTTCTGTTGTAAATTTCAACGTATATCACCTGAAGAAGGTTATAGCGTACAATGATACCCATACAAAATCTTTACAGGCGTTACGATTCGAAACTCTTTTCTTACAAATTTGAAAATACGTCTTCGTCTATAAAACATATTACATTGCTAGAATCAATAAATAAGAAAAGGATAAAGGAATAAAATTATCGACAAATATTCTTAACAATTTTCTAATAATAAATGACAGGTAAAGAAATCGACGATACTGAACCAATAGACAATGAGAAACAAAACAATTATGACTTAAATGCATTTCCTACAATTTTGTGAATTACGTCCTCTTTCATAAAGAAGAAATGTTACGCTTTAATATAAATAGAGAATCATTCAGGGCTGTGTATATGTAAATTAACAAATGCAATGCATTGAATGTTCCTAATATAAAAATTCCTAGTGATAATAGACATTCTTAATAAAGTAAGTAAACTTGCTAAAACACTTATTTTAAAAAATAAAGCAAAAACAATCTATGCATACATCGATTTAAAAAAATGTATTTTAAAAATTAAATATTGTAAATACCTAATGATATAACAAAATTATAATAGACAATGAAAAAATAAGACTAAAAATGGATAATAAAAGACTTTCTTTTTTTAAAAAAAAATATAAAATCTCTTTCTTTTAGCAAATGAAAAAACATGTCGACATCAGCGTCTAATATTTAAATAAATAATTTAAAGCTAAGTAAGAAAAGAAAAGTCCCCTAAAATGCATGATTTTCACGGTAGGACATTCTCAGAAAGAACTGAAATCGAATAGATTTTTTTCTTACAACTTGTGCTGGCTTCAATTAAACCGATAAATCTGCATTTGGCAATCAAATGCGGATTTCAATTTTTTATCATCAAATAAAAAGAGACCGCTGTGAGCAGGATTCGAACCTGCGCGGGCAATGCCCATTGAATTTCGAGTCCAACGCCTTAACCACTCGGCCATCACAGCCAGATGACAGATCTTTTTCCTTTTTAATTACATAATTTAATATTTCAGACAATTCTCGCTTGCAAGTGTCAAACCGCAATAATAATAAGAAGAATCAGGACCAATCACATTGCATATCCTTTTATGGATTTTGTCGAGGACCTTAAGACGAACAGTGGGGGCGCCAGACTATATATGGCAGCATTATTCCATGCAAGGTCGAATGGTTGATTTATAGATTTGAAAGATGGACTCAGTCGTGAAACTTATTTTAAAAATAAAAAAAGGATCTATGTATACATCAACTTAAAAAAAAAGTATTTATTTTAATAATGAAATATTGTAAATGCCTAATAATATAACAAAATTATAATATAATAAACAAAGAAAAATGTATAAGAAATAAAAATGTATAATTAAAGACTTCCTCTTATTTTAATATACGAAATCGCTTTCTTTGAGCAATGAAAAAACATGTCCGTTTTTTCCGACATCAGCGTCTAATATTTAAATAATAATTTAAAGCTAAGTAAGAAAACAAAAGACTTCTAAAAAACAAGGTTTTCGCGGTAGGCCATTCTCTGAAGTCAAACAGAGCTTCAGTTAAACCGATAAAAGAGCATTATGCAATCAAATGCGGATTTCATATTTTTATCATCAGATAAAAGACGTCCGCTGTGAGCAGGATTCGAACCTACGCGGGCAATGCCCATTGGATTTCAAGTCCAACGCCTTAACCACTCGGCCATCACAGCCTGACGACAACACCTTTTCCTTTTTAATTACATGATTCAATATTTCAGACAATTCTCGCTCGCAACTGTCAAACTGTCTGTTATCACTAGAAATTGTTATATTAAGAACATTTAAATAATGCATTGTATTTGTTAAATTACTTATACACTGCCATTAATAATTCTATATTTATATTTAAGCGCAATACTTCTTTTTTTTATGAAAGAGGACATAATTCATGAAATTGAACGAAATATATTTAAGTTGTAATATTTGTTTTGTTTATCAGTGACTATTGGTTCAGTATCGTCGATTTCTTTACCTATCATTTTTTTTTATCATGTCCGTTCATTACGACATCAGCGTCTATCTCTTTTTCTTTACCTTTTTTCAGTAGTGAATCTCTTCCTTTATTATTTATCTCTCAAATATTTATTTTTTAGCAACAACAATAATAAAAAATGTGCCGGACTATGGGTTGCCGAAACACGGATGGTAGGATTAAATAAACCGGACTCTGTTTAATCGGAGAGACGAAATGTCTGTAAAGTCGGTTCGGTTATCTATCTGAGCGAAGAATGTCATGTTATGACACCGAAATCCGAAGACGTGTTGGAATAGCGAGCGACGCCTTCCAAAAGACAAAATATTAAAAAAAAAACAAAAAAAAAAAAACGGGAAAATTTCGTTAAAAGGAAAGAAAAGAGTGCTTAACTGCTATGTAATATCAATCCCCCTATATGAAAAGTATGCTGGACAATTTCCTCACAAATGAAGAGGATACTTGAGGCAACAGTGATTTGGTTCTACAGCAGGATGTTGAGAATACCATAGTCAGAGCATGTGATCAAGGAAGAAATTTTAAGGAAAAACTGAAACCAAAAGCACACTTATACTTAAAATCTGAAAGAGGTAGATGAAAATTTTGGAACACATAATGAGAAAAGGAGGCTTGGAAAATTTGATACTCACAGGATACACTGATGGCAAGAGAGAAACAGATTGAAACAACGAGTAACATACCTAACGGGTCTGGGCAAATATATGGCATAAGCGTGGGGAGGGCAGGAAAATATTGCTAAGAGCTACAATAGACAGGAAGTTGTCGAGAGCCATGTTCACTGACCCCTGGTAGAAACGCAGTACATAAATGATCTCCACGTTAGAATTAAAATGACTTTGGCAAGAACACCTGACCCCAGTGGATAAAAGCGTTGGTTGAATTAATCCAGTGATTTGACCAAAAGAGTTATGAGTTCAATACCTGGCCACAGCAGAGGTGAACAAAAACTTGGAGAGTTGAGTTACTAAAGGGAAGTAACTGAGATATCTAGAAAAAAAAAGGCATGGAACGTGGAACTAGAACAATCTACCCCGGTGGACGAAATAAAGGGTTCGATTCGAAATTCCAATATATATCACCTGAGGAAGGTCGGAGCGTACAACGGCCGAAACGTCGTGAATATGGTAATAAAGATGTGAACAGGCAGATAGATAGATAGATAGATAGATAGATAGATAGATATATTAACAAAGTGTGATTGGTGCGAAGAAACAGACATGCACATACACACATACATATATATATATATATATAGAGAGAGAGAGAGAGAGAGAAAGAGAGAGAGACAGATATTAACAAAGTGAGATTGGTGCGAAGAAACACACACATATATATATATATATATATATAGAGAGAGAGAGAGAGAGAGAGAGAGAGAGAGAGATTAACAAAGTGAGATTGGTGCGAAGAAATACACACACACAATCACACACACACACACACACATATATATATATAGATAGATAGATAGATAGATAGATATTAACAAAGTGTGATTGGTGCGAAGAAACACACATGCACACACACACATATATATATATATATAGAGAGAGAGACAGATATTAACAAAGTGAGATTGGTGCTAAGAAACACACACACACACACACATATATATATATATATATATATATATATTAACAAAGAGATTGAGAGAAGAAACAACAAACACACACAGATTATATATATATATATATATAGAGAGAAAGAGACACAAACAGATTCACACACACACACACACACACATATATATATATATATATATATATATATATATAGAGAGAGAGAGAGAGAGAGAGATATTAACAAAGTGAGATTGGTGCGAAGAAATACACACACACAATCACACACACACATATATATATATATATATATATAGATAGATAGATAGATAGATAGATAGATAGATAGATAGATAGATAGATAGATAGATTCTGGAGAGGAAAAAAACGTCTCCCACGACACAGTGGACAAACTTTCTTAGCAACTCACCTAGAAATGGATTCAAAATAGCCTTTCTACCTCATGTCAACTGAGAACATTAACCTGAAAAGGCGCAACGAATCACTCTTGAACAAACGTCATGAGCGTATATAATATTGTTCAACGCGTTCTGCTACAATTCTTCAAACAGGAAAGCAATGTGCAAATCTCTATACAGTATATTAGAGTCGTCTACTGCTTTGTAATACAGATTGGTTCAGTTCGTGAAGTTTTAAATGTTGAAAAATGACGAGAGATTTTAGGTTTTCCTTGATTTCAACATGTGTAAATAAATAAACCTTTATAAAATAATAAAATAAACTTACTGTAATACAATCATTCTTATCGAAAGTGCTGACAAGTGATGATTGAGAAAACATCGATAAGTATTGAACATTATTATATCTGATTCAATAATTGTAGCTTTAGTACAACGGTTCTCAACCGGTAAACAGTAGTACATTAATACGTCCTGAAATGTGGTCAGGTGAGCCTCAAGTTGACAAAAGATTAATTTATGAATTATTTTTATATTATAAAAAAATATATTTATTTTTAAAAAGTTAAGGCACCAAACATATGGCTTCTCTTGGGGCGCACCCACCTTCTCATCAGAATGGACTGATCTCTCTACTACTAATAGGACAGTTCTATAGAGTTCTGGGAAGATCAGGTGACTATCACACTTCCGTCTTTCTACCGGAAGATACAGTTGGACTTTATACTCTTTCTGATAGTTACTGACTAACCTGCGTTCGTTTGACTACTAATCTCTCTGTTGTAAATACCTCTTCAGATATACCAGTATTTTTTCCCCTACGTATGTGTTTGTCCTTATTTCAATACACGCACGGGGAAACACTCAACATCTCAACAGCTTCCATGTCTAAGCCAAATCTTTGTCATTTGATATTTTAAACTGAATGCCAAATTTCTTTAAGAACTGGATAATCGATTCTCTTTTGCCTTCTAAAATGGATTTAACGCAATTGTTATCCTCTCTAAAAGAAATAGCAGATTCTTAATAAAAATACTTTAAATGAAAACTGTACCGTTTGGGAATGCTAAACCTAAATTTTCTATTTCCAGATTCCATGTCTAGTTCCTCCTGATTAAAATTTAAAGTGTGGCCTAAATTTTTAATTATCCTATAAATGCATCTTGAAGTAAAAAACAAAAAAAATTGTAAAACCGTTATTTAAAATATCGATCACTTTATTATCGATCACTTTATTGGCAGAAATTCTATTCGCTTTGATATAATTTAAACAATGTAATGAATATGCATGCACCTGGGCTCCCCCTCACAGTAATATGATTGGCTGGTGTCAGCCATAAATACAGACTGATGTGGAGGTATATTGGCTACGCCTATTGGAGGTACAGGACGACGCCTACTGAGGACGCCTATTGCCTACGCCTATTGTCCACCAGTACGATGAGGACCAGTCCATTACGGCTACCTGCTAGATTGTCCTACTCGGTTACAGTAGTCAACAACCACTTTGCTACTTCGAACAAATATATCCCTTTCCGGGACATATCATTAAATTATATAATTTTATGCAATTTTATCTATAGCTATCAACATCATTTACTTTTATTATAGATAGATAGATAGATAGATAGATAGATAGATATGAACAGACTGATAGATATAGATAGATAGATAGATAGATAGATAGATAGATAGATAGATAAATAGATGGATAGATAGACATTGAATGGACTGAGATAGATGGATAGATAGATAGATACTGTGATAGTATAGATGGATGATATATATAGATAGATAAATAGATGGATCTACTGAGATAGATGGATATTGATAGATAGATAGATATGGATAGATAGATAGATAGATATGAAGACATTGCGATAGGTAGATATATAGATATAAAGAGATAACGATTGATATATGAAGAGATTGCGATTGATAGATAAATAGATAGATATGAAGATATTTCGATAAATAGATAGACAGATATGAAAAGATTGCAATAGATATAAAGAGATTACGATAGATAGATAGATAGATAGATAGATAGATAGATAGATAGATAGATAGATAGATATGAACAGACTGATATACAGATAGATAGATAGATAGATAGATAGATAGATAGATAGATAGATAGATAGATACTCATCTAACAAAAAGAAGCCGGTAATAGATATTTTGTTTCGGAAGGGTTTCGCTCATTTCATAATTAATGGTCGTTACGAGTGCGTTGTGTATTTTAACACAACGTTGAAAATTTCAGTTGCATTTGTAAAAAGAAATCGCAAGAGACTGACACGTATACAAAAATAATACCCTGCCCCGTGGCAAAAGCTGTTAGTGACGCCAGGGTTGGCAGTAAGCCTCAGCCACCGAAATTGTGTTACCTCACCTCGTTGGCGGCTAACGAGGGCGGGATATTACACGTGCTTTCACACGTTGTATGTAGAGAATTAAGTATCTTCTAAAGGCCTTACACAGAAGTCTTTTATACTGTTGTTCACCCAATACAAGGCCCAAGTGTCTCTCAAGGTAGAGGGTTACTAAATGAGGTTGTTTTCAGAACGTACAAGGAGAGAAATAAATGGTACATATTATGATGATATGCAGGATAGATAACGGTTGGCCCTCGACTTAAAGATGTTAAGATTGCAATGATCGGGGATACATCCTCTCGGACGTCTGTTCAAGAAATCAACAGTTCGGAAAAGAAACTGCTGTCCCACCGTAACTGCATCCTCGTTAATGGCATTTGAAGGAGTTATATATTAATCGACTGGCTGTACGCTGCCCGTGGGTCCTAGCTGTTAAGATTTGGACTAGTGGAAATGTAGTTCGCCCGAACATCTGGGAAGTGAAGACTGTGTTGTTCCACCTCGGTTGTGGCAGTAATACATTTTTTTATCTGTTTCTTGTAAAGACAGCGCATGGCAGTATGAGTTATTTACATTCTGGTGCTGTGCCGTGTACAACTTTAGCGATTGATTATGTGTACGAGTGATTGATGACGCTTTCTATGGCTTATCTAAACTATTTAAAGCTAGGAAATATTTTTTAGATTGTAATATTTTTTAGATAATAATGGTTTATTGATACAAGTCTTACTAATTAATTATTATTATCATAATGGTAATTGATACATAATGATTTATTGATACATAATGGTTTATTGATACAAGTCTTACTAATAAATTATTATTATCATTATGGTAACTGATACATAATTGTTTATTGATACATAATGGTAATTGATGCATAATGGTTTATTGATACATAATGTTTTATTGATACAAGTCTTATTAATTAATTATTATTATCATCATGGTTTATTGATACATAATGATAATTGATACAAGTCTTACCCTTAATTATTATTATCTCCATAGCTGGAGAGGGGGAGAAGAGACGCATTCATACTTTTCTCAAAGGTTGTTTGCGCATTGCTGAATATAACGACCCTAACGAGAATTGGAACTCGGCTCTCCTATTAACAATTCCTAGTTATTATCTATTACCCCTGCCTTCACATCCAAGCTTACAGCAGCTGATATTTCCCAGGCGGTCACCCAACTAGGTACTGACCAGGATCTACTTTGCTTAAATCCGGTGATCGTACAGGAACCGGGGTTTCAACATGATGCGGCTGTACGCCCTAGAGGAGGCACGGTAGTTAGCGTTTCAGATTGAGGAATCGGAGACCCGAGTTCGAATTCCAGTCGGATCCATTGCATTCACTTACGTGCTAATACCCTTGGGAAAGGTATAAATCCTTTTCTTCTCCATCACCCCCAGCTATGGATAAATAGAATGACAGACTGTGTTGCCTTGGGTGGCAACCAGTCTAGGAGAAAGTAACTCTGAATTCAAAACTGTATTTAGTACTTGGTTAGCACATGCTATGCAGCTAAAAGAAACGACCATTCGCATTGGTTCGATGATCCGTAGTCGAATGATGATGATGATGATGATGACGATCGTCGAATGATGATGATGATGATGATGATGACGATGATGTCGGATGATGATGATGATGATGATGATGACGATCGTCGGATGATGATGATGATGATGATGATGACGATCGTCGAATGATGATGATGATGATGATGATGATGACGATCGTCGGATGATGATGATGATGATGACGATCGTCGAATGATGATGATGATGATGATGATGACGACGATCGTCGGATGATGATGATGACGATCGTCGAATGATGATGATGATTATGATGACGACGATCGTCGATGATGATGATGATGTTGATGATGACGACGATCGTCGGATGATGATGATGACGATCGTCGAATGATGATGATGATGATGACGATCGTCGGATGATGATGATGACGATCGTCGAATGATGATGATGATGACGATTGTCGAATGATGATGATGATGATGATGATCGTCGGATGATGATGATGACGATCGTCGAATGATGATGATGATGACGATCGTCGAATAATGATGATGATGATGATGATGACGATCGTCGGATGATGATGATGACGATCGTCGATTGATGATGATGGTGATGATGACGATCGTCGATCGATGATGATAATGATGATGACGATCGTCGAATGATGATGATGATGATGATGACGATCGTCGGATGATGATGATGACGATGAATGATAATGATGATGACGATTGTCGAATGATGATGATGATGATGATGATCGTCGGATGATGATGATGACGATCGTCGGATGATGATGATGACGATCGTCGATTGATGATGATGATGATGATGATGATGATGATGATGATGATGATGATGATGACGACGATCGTCGAATGATGATGTTGATATACTAGTTACATTTGTGTTCTAGGCAACGAGACGCATAGTCAATACAACCGTTCATCGTGAGGAGCTAAATCTCAGGGTCTGCAGCTCACCGGTGGCGAACGTGTTACAGGGTTTCGGCAAACGGTTGACAAGGCACTACTTCGAAAGAAACGGTGGAAACTGCGTATTAAGATGAGTCATTTCTGCATTTCATATTTGCTGTAGAATTTTTGGATAATCCCACTTACCTGTCGGTAGGTAGTTATATCTGGCATGGCTGTGCATATTAGTAGATAGTCCAGAGAAAACAAGCAATTATTTATTCAAAGGAACAGGTTGAAGGCTTCCTGGTGTAGCTAAGCCAAATTAAACACATATCAATTATTAACAGTGGATGCGTACAGCTTTCGTTTACCAAACCGAATTCAAAAAGCAAATGCAACTAACTACAGAATGAAGAATGGACGACAAATAGAGAAAAGAAAATAATTGAACAATTTACCATATATATATATATATATATATATATATATATATATATATATATATATATATATATGTATGTGTGTGTGCGCGCATGTGTGTGAGTCTATGTGCGTGTGTGTGTGTGTGTTGCTGTAAATTCTTCCCGTGTGCAATTGGCCGAGAATACATTCAGCTGGTTTGAACTGTGTACACTTAATATACATTTACATGTATGAAACTGGGCGAGGCCAGTATGCCCGCAAAGATGCCTATATATATATATATATATATATATATATATATATATATATATATATATATATATATATATGTATGAATGGCCAAATATCCGGTTAAGATTAGTGTTTGTGTGAGTCTGTAATTTTAAACATGAGTGAATAAATAAATATGTGTGCCTGTGTATAGGTGCATATATACACGTTTTTTAACAAAAATACATATATATCTATGTGTGTATGGCCACATAATATATATATATATATATATATATATATATATATATTATTTAATACTTATATATACGTGTGTGTGCGTATATATATATATATATGTATATATGCGTGTGTGTCTGTATGTATGTATGTAGGTTTGTGCCTTTGTATTTCTACTGTAAAAGGCCGAATATAAAAATAATTTCCATGCGTGCCAATCACCGAACGATAAAGTCACGTTTTGAAAAATATGACTGAATACCACAGAAGAGATGAGATTATTTAAGCAAAAGGAAACAGCAAAAAACAAAAAAAACAAAACAAAAAAAACGTCTTTTTTTTCCATTTTGTCAAACAAAAGAAGGAATTGAAAAATTGGCAGAGGCTATTCCCCCTCTCGAAGTTAGGGGATTTCCTTCTTGCACACTGTTCGTCGGTTGAGGAGGTGGATGGGGACTCTTCCCACTCGTGATCATATGTGGGATGGTCAAGTTCACACGTGCCTAGCGCTGATTGGATGTCAATATCGCACGTGTTCGAACAGGCGAAACATGGGTTGGCAAGTTTAGTTGCGCCAGCAAGGGCAAGTTCGGCGAGGGTTCTCTCTTCCAAAGGGCAAGTTCACCACGTGAAATATCGTCTAGAGGTCGAATCCACACGTGATCTCTGTCTGTGATAGGAAAGTCACGTTTGAGCATTGTCCAGGAGACAAGTTCACGCGTGATCCGATCTCAAGAAGCAAGTTCAGTTGTTGGCCTACAACTATGATGGAAAGGGCAAGTTCACGGATAAATTTAGGACTTCAGATAAATTTGTCCACGTGATGAAGATTTAAACGAAAATATTTCGAAAGGTAAGCCAAGGAATTTTCGAGACATTTTTTTTTAAGCTATGAAAAGATATTACCATCTTTATCTATAGCAAGGCTGAACAAACCAGGACCAGCAGGGTGCACGCACCCGCCTGATGATTTTATACTGCCCGTAAGAGCACGAGAAACGTGATGATTTAAATATCCGTTACAATGATTTTTCTACTTCATATTTTATTACCCGTTGCGTAAAATAATAATCTATTCCAAACAAAAAATAAAGAGAACAATGACGGAAGCCATATATATTTAATATTTATTTTCATTAAAAAAAAAAAATTAAATAATAGATCTCAGCTAACAGTTTATTAATAACTAGCCAAATTACCCAGGCCTTTCTGCATGTCACGCATTTTTTCGTAAGAAAATAATGATTGATTTTAAATCATTGTTATAATTTGTAGAGAAATATCATACATTTCATTATTAATCAATAATTACTTGCCGATGTGACCTCCATCTTCTGGCTTTCTCCCTCTTTATTTTGGATACGAGTCATTCAATTGTTCAAATTTAAATTTAATTTAAATCAAAGCAGTGGTGGTGGTGGGGGGGGGAACATTCAGTTCGTACTCCCCGGGGACCCCACTTTAATCAAATTGGAATATACTTATCCGAGTACACTAGGAGTCATTTTGTTGTTAAAATATAAATTTAATTTACATCAAAGGGTAAAAAAATTCGTTTGACGACCTTTCATCAAATTGAAATATATTTATCTAAGTACCCTGGTTAATGTAATTTCAGAATATAGGAGTTTATCTCCAAAAACCTAAAAGGAGTTTGATAACCAGCAGACAGACAGAGGCTACAACTTCATATATATATATATATATATATATATATATATATATAATGTAAAAAAATGTGTGTATATATATATATATATAATGTAAAATGTGTGTGTGTGTATATATATATATAAAAAGTAAATATATATATATATATATATATATATATATATATATCTGAAAAGTGTGTGTATATAAATATATATATATATATATATATATATATATATATATATATATAATTATTCATATATTAAGCGCTCAATATCAGAGATAGAGCTAACATACTTGGTTGGATTGATGTGAGTTTGTGACCCTGGGTTTCACGCTTTTTGCGATCGTCAGACCTCAAGCGAAAATTTAGAATTCCTAAATTTTCGTTCAAGATGAAACAGGACCCAACACCTTGATTCAACTTAATTTTAATAATTATATTGATGGTCTCGCCTCCCGTTTTTGAAACATGAGAACTCTTATGTAGCGAAGGAATCATATTTTTAAAATATTATAATATATATACACACATATATATATATATATATATATATATATATATATATATATATATATATATATATATATTGTATTTAGGAAGCAAATATACTTTAAGGCAGAATATTATCAAAGACAACAAATATTTTGTGATGATTAATTTTGCTTTCATTTTCTATTCCCTTATGCATTCTTTCTTTCTCCTTTTCTCTCTCTTCTTTTTTCTTTCGTTCTTTCTTTTCGTCTTTCTGTTTTTGCACAAGTTAATTTATTCTTATCAATTCTTTAGTCTTTTATTTACATATTCGTTTTTTTTTCTTTTTTTTTTCTTTCTTTCTTTCTTTTGGTTCCTATTCTTTTAGATACGGATGATTTCTTTTTCTTTCATTCTTTATTTCTTTTCAGGCTATTATTCTTTCTTTGCTTGATTATATTTTCTATTGATTTATTCACACGTTCTTTCTTACTTTCTGCTTTTCTTTCTTTTCTCTCTTCCTATTCTTATCTTTTATTTCCTTTTTCTTCTTCTTTTTCTTCTTCTTTTCTTTCTTTCTTCCTTTCTTCCCTTGGTTCTTCCTTTGTTTCTTCTTTTCTTCCTTTCTTTCCTTCCTTCCTTCCTTCCTTCCTTTCTCCCATTCTTTCTTTTTTTCTTACCTTCTTTCTTCCTTTCTTCCCTTCTTTCTTCCTTTCTTTCTTTTCTTCCTTTCTTTCATTCCTTCCTTCCTTCATTTCTTTCTTTCTTTTTCCCTTCTTTCTTCTTTTCTTCCTTTCCTTCCTTCCTTCCTTTCTTTCTTTCTTTCTTTCTTTCTTTGAAGATTTTTTCGTTATCCTTATTCTATTATTTATATTTTCTTTCTTTTTCTTTCATTAGTTTGTCTCCCCTTATTCTCTCTCTCTCTCTCTCTCTCTCTCTCTCTCTCTCTCTCTCTCTCTCTTATTTTACCTTTTCTTTCGTGGTATATTCATTTTGTTTCTTTCTTTTTCATCGTTTTTCTTTTCATTTCTTTTCATCCCCCAAATAATTGTTTACTTTCATTCTTTCTTATTTATTTATTTCTACAATTTATTCCTTCTTCCTCCTTATTCTTTTATTTACGAACTCTTTCGTTTTCTTTCGTTTCTTTCTTTAGTTTGTATACACACAATTATTCAGTCTTTCTTTCTCTCTTTTAACTAGCTTCTTCTTTCTTTTTCTTTCTTTCTTCATTTCTTTTGTTTTCCTTCTCGCTATTGTTACTTTCTTCCTTTACTTCCGTTTTTATTTCCTCTGCTTTTGCTTCAGCATTCTTCCTTTCTTTTTTCTCTTCTTCTTTATTTAATTTCTCACACTTGACCCATTCTTTCTTTCTTTCTTTCTTTTTTTCTTTCTTTCTTTTATTTACGTCTTCTTTCTTTTTAATTCGTTCGTTTTTTTTTATCCATACTAATATTCAGTGTATCTTTCTTTTATTTGCGTCTCCTTCATTTTTATTCCGTTCTTTATTTCCTTTGTTTTCCATCTCGCCATTACTATTTTCTTCCTTTACTTACATACTTCTTTTCTTTCTTTCTTTCTTTCTTTCTTTCTTTCTTTCTTTCTTTCTTTGAAGATTTTTTCGTTATCCTTATTCTATTATTTATATTTTCTTTCTTTTTCTTTCATTAGTTTGTCTCCCCTTATTATTCTTTCTTTCTTTCTTTCTTTCTTTCTTTCTTGCTTTCTTTCTTTGAAGATTTTTTCGTTATCCTTATTCTATTATTTATATTTTCTTTCTTTTTCTTTCATTAGTTTGTCTCCCCTTATTATTCTTTCTTTCTTTCTTTCTTTCTTTCTTTCTTTCTTTCTTTCTTTCTTTCTTTCTTTCTTTGAAGATTTTTTCGTTATCCTTATTCTATTATTAATATTTTCTTACTTTTTCTTTCATTAGTTTGTCTCCCCTTATTATTCTTTCTTTCTTTCTTTCTTTCTTTCTTTCTTTCTTTCTCTCTCTCTCTCTCTCTCTCTTTTCTTTCTTTCTTTCTTTGTCCATTTATCTGACTTCTTAGGCCCTCTTTTTTCTTTTTTATTGATGAACAGATAACTTCGAAAAGCTTCCGATGATTGTTTTCATTGCAAAACAAACGAAGAATTGTCGACTGTTTCTACTCTTTCTTGTCTATTTATATTTTATTATTTTATGAAAACAAATCATTAATTAAAGTCTGGGAATGCGTAACTAAGAATCCTTTGCCGAAATTACAACATTCTATTTTCGCGAACTACACATTTGAATCGGAGAATAAAAAAAAACACTTCGCGTAGCAACATAGACTTACTTAGAACAAATAGGACAAATTAGGATAATTTTGCAAGGCTAGTCGTACTAAATTCTGTGTTTTACTATATGATAATTTAGGAAAACTTATAAAATAAGCTGTGCAAAGTGAAGTTGCCTCTGAAATGACAATTAAATGTTTAGAATTGCTGTATTATTGCGTTCTTTATTTTGTACAAAACTACTCTAAATTCTTAATTTTCTTTTTAGAAGTAACAGGGTATGACGTTAAACTATATCTGGCAGCAAGACCTCGGACTGATCGAGTGGTTTTGAGTGGTGTGGAACCACTTCTTTATTGCTGTTGCTTAAAGAAGCCAGGGAATATGGTGAGGTCTTCAGCTTTGATTTCACAGAACAATTTACAGAAGCCAGAAAATGTTGTGAGGCCGTAAGACTTTATTCCATATGACAGTTTAAAGAATCCAGAGATTGTGGTGAGGTCTTAAGCTTTTATTCCAAAGAACAATTTACAGAAGCCAGAAAATGTTGTGAGGCCGTAAGACTTTATTCCATATGACAGTTTAAAGAAGCCAGAGATTGTGGTGAGGTCTTAAGCTCCTCTCATAAATACAAACTACGAGAGTCGGATGGAGTGAAGTGGAGTAGTAGACGCAGTGCTAATCTACTTATTACTAACACTATTGTTTTGTATATATCTTCAATATACTTTTTCAACCTAACTTCGTCTTCCGTGTTTTTCTTTCTGGCCCCTAAACAGGCCACAACAGTAATTGAACGAGATGATTTTTTGAGTAGCAAAATAGTGAAATGTTTTTTCTAATCCTTTCAGTGACAAGTATCTTCATTATTTATTTAATACATTTTTAATTTACGGAACATACAAAACCTAAATTTCTATTGTATTATATTCAAGAATATTGTTTCAAGAGTATTGTTTTGTTACCTGTATAGTAATGTTATCCAAATGGTATATCACTGCTATGGAGGGTGAATATTTTTTTCTCTTCCACCGTATGAATCTGAATACCTCGTCGCCAAGTATGTTATGGAGTGGTTTCACATTTGTACTAAGTCGGTCTTAAAATAGGTTCGACGTACAAAACGTTAGGAACGTGATATAATAGGTAATGACGCAGTAATCTTGTTGGGGTGGCTGATACTTTAGTATCCGACTAACGGTCGTCCGAATCGACTGACTGACCAACGATATTTAGTCATCTTCGCCCCACGATGGCATCATGTGGCACAAGGCCGGTTTAACGTGGGATCTCCGAGACCGTGGGCTCGGCCAAAAATATGCCCATTGAACCCGTATAAACGGGTTATGGGGCGGTTTACCTCCCCCGAAAGAGAATCCGCCCTTCGGCGTAGCCTCTTTCGAGTTCCTCCCCGCCCGAAGGCAGAGAGTTCAACCGATCAGCCAGTCGACTGACTGACCAACTCCTTGAAGACTATTACTACTACTACTTATTATAGGTGGGGGAGTCTATTAACTATAGAATAGGTGTGTTCCACTATAACAATCACTGAAACACATGGTCGAATAAAGGCAAAGAACGTCAAATGACTCAGAAGCCATCGGCGAGTCACGTTGTTAAGTAAGCCAATCAAATTTTTCTCTGTGAAGGTGGAAACAGTTTCTTTGAATGAATGTAGATATAGATTTGTCCCCTTCTTTGACACCTCAGCGCCTCGGAATTAAAAGTCGGAGAGCTGAGTTCGAATTCCAGTCAAGTTCGTTACATTCACTTACGCGCAAATAGCATTGGGAAAAAGTATTAATCCATCTCGTCGCCCCAGCTACGGGTTAAATAGGAAGACTTCTATCTGAAAAAAAAACAAACATTGTCATTCAAAAAATAAATGTTAATGAAGTATTCGCTCACACAAAAAAAAATATTCTTACAGTCTAAAATATGATTTGTCTTTAAATAACCCACAAAGGCTTGATAAACCATAAAAAAGAAATCAAACGTCTTCCTCTCATTATCTCTAAAACGACTGAACTACGAGTTAATTTTCAACATCCAACCATGGGAATGTGGGTGGTGGTGGTACATGGATTCGGCTTATTGAGTTCAAATTCCAGCTGAGACACTTCTTCTCTTCGTACTGATGACCTTGGAAAAGGAATAAATCTATCAGATAAATATGTAGAGCAAACTTAATGCTTTAGTCTTGATATGCTCTCTAGCAGCGTCCCTAAAGTGCATTCTGTGTTCGCATAAGATTGTAGAAATAACAAAGATGGGCCCATATAGCTGTGATTTATTTAGATGTTGTCTCCAGGAGATGATATGTACAGTTTCTCATCATCCTAGTGTAGGTTTCATCGAACTTAGATTCTAGAGTTTTACTTAATGACCAGCCAGTGGCACCATATAATAACACCTTCTCTATAGTGGCTCGAAAATAAAATCTTCATTTGAGGTTGTCTAGTAGATCAGATTTCCAGATTACAACCATTTTATTCAAGGTGCCCCAGAGTTTAGCTATGCGATTTTTCCCATCTTTTTCAGTAGAATTTATTGATTTAATTCGTATTGCGCTTTGCTGGTTGAAGCCTATGAATTCAGTTTTAGGGGCATTGACACAAAGTCCGACAACATTGGCAGAATTTTCTAGATGATGTAGAACTCTGAGCATGAAAGAGAATGGACGCTGATTTTTTTACCTTTTAAAGTTAATTTGTTTTTGTTTTTTTTTAATCTGATTGGCTAGTCGATTACATTAAGCTTCTTTTTCTTTTTTGTTTACGTTTTTATCACTTTTGTTATTAAGAATTCCATATTGTGATAATAGATCTACCAAGAAAGGCCAAATAGTCTAAAAACCTGGACGCAAAATTACTGTGAACGTTTTCGGGATTAAAGCACTTTCTATACACTTTCGTTTTAGTAAATTCCTATTTCTTTTAATGTAAATAGCATTTTTTAAAATTGAAATTAAGTTCAGACTAATTATTGTGAACAGATCATACATTGAGTGTGTTGTCTTGTAAAAGATCCCTTTTGTGTTCATATAATCTTTTGTTCAAATTTCTCGAGGTTTCTCCTGTATTATCCTTGTGGCATTTTACAGGTGATAGAGTAAATTCGTTCTTCAATTTTTAGGATATTATTATTTTTTTGTGTAAAGTCTTCATTATTTTATAAATAGCTGTAACAGAGTCTACGCTAATATTTGATAAACTCTTTTCAATTGTATTTGGGATTGGCTTGGTAGGTATAATGGTATATTTCGATTCCTTTTTTTTTTCTTAGAGTATAAATTTCCTATTTAAGAAATGTGAACCCCTTCCTGTACAATCATTCATGATGGTTGGAACTCAATAAACATGTCTTCCTCTCTTCTAAATAGTGACGATAACGCCGCTGTAGCAGCTCAGATTAAAGATTCAGCCTAGGTTGGATATCTGTCTAGGAGAAGAACAACGTTTAATTCAAAATCGCAGTTCCAGCCGGTTATAACAGGCGTCTTACGGTAACCATATCAATAATGCCTAGTGTGTTCGGAGTTGTGGCCTCAGTGGAGTCTATTCGATTTGAGTCCCATTGAGAGTGAAAATATAGCTGGGTAAAGTTTTTAACTCCTCACTAAACTTTCCAAAAATGTCTTGTATTGAAGGATAATTTGTACCTGAATTATTTCTTTTTTTTAAATTACCTGGTAATTTATAAAATACGATAAAATTAAAATTTATGTTACCAGGTGAATCTTCTTCTAAAAATCAAGGTTAAAGGCATTGTTAAATTCATACCCTGAAAAAAACAAGGTTAAAGGCATTCTCAAATTCATACCTTGAAAAAAAGCAAGGTTAAAGTCATTGTTAAATTCATACCTTGAAAAAAATAATCATGGTTAAAGGCATTCTTAAATTCATACCTTGAAAAAAAATTATGGTTAAAGGCATTCACAAATTCATACCCTAAAAAAAGCAAGGTTAAAGCATTCTTAAATTCATACCCTGAAACAAAAATAGAGGCTAAAGGCATTCTTAAATTCATACCCTAAAATATCAAGGTTAAAAGCATTCTTAAATTCATACCTTGAAAAAAATAATCATGGTTAAAGGCATTCTTAAATTCATACCTTGAAAAAAAATTATGGTTAAAGGCATTCACAAATTCATACCCTAAAAAAATCAAGATTAAAGGCATTCTTAAATTCATACCCTGAAAAAAATAGAGGTTAAAGGCTTTCTTAAATTCATACCCTAAAAAAATCAAGGTTAAAAGCATTCTTAAATTCATACCCTGAAACAAAAATAGAGGCTAAAGGCATTCTTAAATTCATACCCTAAAACAATCAAGGTTAAAAGCATTCTTA